TGTGTGCGCGCGCGCGTGTGTGTCCATAACGGGCCAGCAGCAATTTTACCACACATTAGATGTGATGGATCAGCCACACACAGCCACACACCTTCAGAGCTGCAGGTGTAAAAAAAAAACAGTCAACACGTGTATCAAGAACCCGGGGAGAGCGGTGTGATTCTGTAGGGTTGATGCGATATGACAGGGGAATAATAATGAAACACAGCTGCTGTCTTACCACTGACCTGGATTGATACAGTACAACTGAGATACAGAGGCAGCCAATCCTCCAGCACAGCGGGTTCCATGTTGAAACGTGTTACGTCTAATCCCATTTGTCAACATTTTAGGGTCGTGGCGTCGAACAACACATTCAAACACGCCGAGACGGCAGCCATCGCCACTCAGGATGGCTTTACACACTAACAGTGTGTATGTGTGTGTGGGTACAGACGCATAGGTCAGCGCAGTTAGTGAGTGATGTGCTTTGGACTGTCAGCATGAGTTACTGTAATAAAACATCACAACCAAGCGCGCGGTGCATACAAACATTTTTAGTTCACTTTCTTGTGAGTTTATCTCCTCTCTGCCACAGAGGCCTCGACATAAAAGGTGTCGGATTTCTCACTGTACATCTCAACTTCCTGTGGCAAGGCAGGCATAAATAATAAACATTATCAGTTTCCTTATTGTTTGTGTTTGATGCAGGAGCAGCCTCCTTCTGTCAACCTAGCTCCTGCCTCTTCTTCTTTGTTGGCTTTCATGCACATTTAACGAGGTTACACCCACGCAGTGTGTTAGGTTTATCCCACTTTTGTACTTGGTGGGTTTTTATCATTGACACTTGTGGGGTGTTTTATCTTAATGTGTCCTCTTGGCTGATTACAATGCCAAAGCCTGTGTGAAGCAGCATTTTAGGGTTTTTCTTAATGAGAAATAGACCCTAAAACAGAAGTTTAAACTGTCTTTCTATGATCTAACTCCTAACTCTAGATTTGTGTAAATAAACAACCCAATCTAGCTGTTAGTGCAAAAATAAATGAGGTGGTAATGTGTGATAGAATCCTCATTTTTTCCTCCACAGAGATAGATTAAAGCTTTGGCTATTGCTCTCGTTGCGCCTGTTTTCACTGTCCAAGTTGATTGAAAAGCAAAATGCCTCTCTCTTTTTGTGCAGATTCCCCCTTTAATGTGTTTTCCCAGGCTGAGACTGTTGCGCAGCTAACACACCGATGATAAGAGATGACAGGAGAACGAGCCTTTCCATGACCTTCCGAGCATTCAACTCATTTGACTTTGATGTGTAAAGTAGAGCACCGAATGGAGGAGCGGCTGTGCTTTAATTTTTGTCTACATTACAAACTCAAATGAGTGGAGCACTAAGTGTACAATGGCAAAGTGCAACACCCTCACTCTGTTCCCGTGACACAATAGTGCCACCTACTGGTATGTGGGGGGTGGGGGGGATGTGTGACCTGGTGAGTAAAGTTTTACCCTTTTTTCACAGTATTGACAGATGCTTGTGTAAATGCTTATCTACCTAGGTCTATACACAGGATCCCCTCTAAAGCAGTTTGAAAGCATATTAAAATACTTTGATTTGTTTTTTCCACAAAAAAAAAATTTAATTTAAAAAAATTCTACTACTGGACTCAAGATGTCTCCTACATAACTGTAAAGCCCATTCTCAGCATTGCGCTTACACATAAGCTGCTCATTGGACCACGATTAGCTTTCAAACTATAATGATTCAAAGTCAGACTCAAGCAGCAGGTGAATGTCAAAACCACCTTCTAGTGTCAAAATGTGCACATACATCATTCTGTACAAGGACATCCGAGACAACTAACAGTAAGCCAAACATATATCAGAGTGGAGGGAGACCTGAAGCAAAAGATTCTTCAGGTTTTTTTTTTTTTGGTACCTTTTATAGTCTGCATTTTTTGTATACATTATATTGCTTTGCAATTCATGATTAACACTTCATGTAGTAGTTGTCATCATTGGTGGCAGAGTCCGCCATTCTTGCGTTGCATGCAGATTACCTACCTAAACACAAGGGATTTACAGAAAATGTTGAATGTAATCCTGCGCAATTTTAGCTCATTAAACATTTCATACTGATGCTGCTTTCACATTAAACACATTCAGACAGCAGGGGGTGACCTTTATTGTGAAGTAGCCCCAGGGAAAGCAATATGTTTGTCACTGAGGTGAGCTATTTTTGCATTAAATGTATTCTAACATCCTCATTTCGTCACCTATTTACAGTGTTGGGTAAGTTACACAAAAAAATAAGTAATTACTCATTAGTAATTAGTAACATTACTCATTACTTTACTTGCATTACTCAGGCCTGCCCCGTAAAGGTGAGTTATGAACAACTCCAAGCCAGCTCGCCCACACATCACGTATAAAATATAAAATTAGGTTTATTTCTTGGTGGTATTTACTGATTAGCTTAGCATTATCCCTAATCACTGGCTGGACTCCAGAAGTTCAAACACCCTCCTGCTCTCCAGATGATTCCTGAATGTAAGTGTACCAGTGGCTAACGTTAGTAAGAATAAACAAAGACAACAATAAGTAAATAAAACAACGCTGAAGTTACGTATTTGAGTCATATTTCTCCACTTTTGGCTTCTGTCAACTAAACACAGAGGCTGTGTAGACTGTAATAATATCTATTATCCTTTTTTTGTATTCAGTATGTTCATAATGCACAACATTCTAATGGTTTTTAAGGTAACCTTCTGTAATATGAATCTCAACAATGTTGATCTTATCTTCGCTCATTCAAACTGATTTATGGATTAATGTGGGATTTGTATCCCATTTCAAGTGTTGCTGTAAAATCATACTTTCTCCTCAATTTTTAAATCATGGCAGAGAAGGAATGAAAACCTCCAAATGTACATGGCCTTATGTCTGTAAAGTAATCTGACAATCTATTCATATAGAGAATATACAGAGATTCTAGTTGAGCAGCCAGTGACAGTCAACTGCACTCTGTATGTTTTCCAGTGCAGTTGCTCGGCTGCCCACATTGGACTGTTGTTTCATCACTGTTAGTAAAAAGGAGAATGCATGCAAAACATTGTGCTAGTAAGCATAATACAGCCTATTTTCTCATTAGTCCTAAGATTCCTGATTAAATGAGATTAAATCATCACAAATCAACTGTTTTCACTATCATGTAATGACTGGAAAATCAGGAAAATGTTTTATCAGCATCTCAGTCAATCTCTGTCAATCCTAATCTGATTTCTGTCTAATTATTTGAACT